GGATCGTTTTGGGGCGGAGCGCTTTCGAAGTCCTGCTCAGCAACCAGCGCACCTTTCGTCGTGAAAGCGCCACACCTCGCTTCCTTGGCAGCCAAGTAACAACTACTTTGTGTGGTGCACACGCCTTCCCCGATGCGCTCCCTCTTTATTGTAATCCTGTCCTTGAGGGGTCGCGCCAGTCCCGAACACACGATCGGCATGCTACATAACTCCAAGGGCTCTTAGCAACTTTTCTCAGTTCTGTCATTAATTGTCGACCTGAAAATCACATATACATATTTTCGCCTTCGCACGCAACACATTAAATTCAAATTGCAATCGTTTCGTATACGGTGGACTACAGTCTACAATTTGCAGTCTACAATTTGGAGCGGCTGTGACCTTTGCGATCCTAGGCTACTGTGAAGCACTCTGGAGTATGTAAAGGACCGTCAAAGGATGACTCGAATTAATGTTTCGCAGAAAAACCATAATTCTGTCTGATCCATAAAGCTCTGGGTTGAGACCATTATTCACGACAAGAACGGAAAGAACAAAAAATTGTGTTTGTTTTCGTAAACAATTCGAAAAACCAAAGGACTGCTACGCGTTCAAATTCCCGCCGTACATCTGTCACAAATGTTGGCGACGGGATTATTCCATTTGGTTCTTGGATTGCCTTCATTGGGAACTCTTTTTCGACTGTTCCTCTAATAACATTTCTCTTTTCTACTGATCGATCGCATTCTTTTAATGCATCGCTTAAGACGTGGACGCCCCAAGGCGCACTTCTTTCCGTGTGTTCCCTTGTTCCCGCCCGACATGCCCTCGGCCGTCCACAGCATGTGGTTCGCGTGAATTTGTCTCTCTTCGGAGTGATGCGAAATAATGCAAGATTTTTTCGCGGACGACTCCTCCAACCTGCGGTGAAGTGAGGTTTCAAGTCGAAGAGCATGCGTAGCAGCTTTATGGTAATGTAGTGGTCACAAAACCACAGCTCACCAGCAAGGTGTACGTGTGAAAATCCGCTCTGGATAACTGTTCAATTCACTCATCTAGTGTCGAACGATATGAACCAGACCCGTTCAAAAAGCGAAAATTTCTAGGGTGCATTGCATGCACCTTTCTTTGAGCATGCGACTTCGGTTCAGTGGAAAGACGTGAAAAAGGAAAACCACCCCTTT